ATTATGTTTGGCCTCAAAACTTCAGCGTAAGAAGAACCGCATGTGCCGTAAGCACTCCTTGAAGTCAGTGTTTAACCCACTTGTTGTCTCCATTGTTAAAAGGGGGAGACCTCACATTGTTACGCAGGAAACAAGCCCCAGTCCAAGGACAACGCACGTATCAGCAATTACAGAACCGTAACTCGAAAAGCGAGATTAGGTCACAATGCTACACACATTATCAGCACCATAACAGCACCACTGACACGCTGCTAATGACATGGCCCGAAGGGTAAAAAAATCAGGCAGGTATAATTCTGTCTCTACACGCTCAAGGTCAATGAAAGACCACGCAAGACTGCGAGCACAAGAAGCGACGGCGAGAGCAACTGTACTTAGTTATCTGTTCATCCAACAGATGGAGGCTGAGTACTAAATTGTAACCCCGCGCTTGCTCTACTATTTTAGTGAAAGGGGGGAGGTAGCATTAACTTGCATCAATTCGACTCTATAGCACCATACGAATTGAAACGGGATTTCTGGAACTGGGTTATAACTCAAGCTCTGCCAAAGTTTCGTGTCCTCCAATTATGGCAACATGTCAACTCTTTTCAGCCTAATATGAGGAGCGTGAAAACTGGTGTAGGGTTTGGAGGGGGGGGGCATACCAAGCTGATGCCTCAGCAATGCTCACTAGCCTGGGTGTTCATGTTAATTCCCGTCAGATAGAAAGTTGGGATAAGTATCAAAGACAAGGGCCCTGAAGTTTTCATGTTCTAATTATCCAATTAAAGAATATTTTAATATTATCTTCCAAGTGGTTTCTCCTCCCATTCAGGTTTGAAGGCCAAAATTTTTAACGTTTTTCTGATAGCTTCCACCAATCACCCCTCCTTGATTTCATCACCATAGCAATACTTCGTCGAGAATAAGAATCAAGACGTGTCTCATTATTACGTCACGAAACGTCAGAGCGATAACCCATCCAGATAGAAGATATCTCGTCTCCCCTAGACATTAAAACAAAATTAAAAATTTCCATGTGATTCTAATTTTCGGCAAAGAGATACTGCACCATTTCCCTGAAAGTATTAACGACCTGATGATGGCAGCATAAGGAAGTTCCGAAATGTCGTACCCCATAGGTATGTCCAGAACAGCAGTTCCCAAACTGTGAAACGTGAGGGACTTCTGCGGGAGGGACCACGAGAAGAGCCAATTTTTACGTAAAATTTAGCTGGTAATTACTTTTACCTGCATTTAATTACAGCTTCCGCAAGCGCCCGTCAGAACTGGTAGTGTAAATATTAAAACAATTCGAGCGGCTAGACTTCGCCATTTGTTGGCAGTATTCGTCGCCTATACGGAGCACGCTGAAGCATTTTCGTTCTGAAAATATGTATTGTTTTACGAACAGTTTGGGCACGGTACTGTTTGCGGGTCATTTGCACGTAAACAATAACACGGTTTGGGGTGCAAAGGGTTGAAGGAAGGGGGCATGAGGCTTTGGTGGCAACCAAAACGGGGCGTTATGTTGAAAGGTTTGGGAACTACTGGACTAGAGGTAACGCTCTAGATTATTCGGAGGTACTGGGCTCGAATATCGGAGGAGACACCGGCTATCGTGACTGAGGTTTTACGTGGTTTCCCTTAGGCCCTCTAGGCCAACGTCGGCATAGTGCCTCGGTTAAATCGCGATATAAGAGTCGTCATATTATTCAACGGTATAGTCTCCATAGTGAAGACGTCGTGTCCCCTGTCACTGTGCTTGAGCACCGTGCCATGAAGACGTATGGAGAAGTGGAGGCACTCTTTTAAATCTCAGCACTAGGAAAAGGTGAGTGGTAGCTTAGCGCTCGGGCCACTTTACCTCAAAAGAGAGCACGCAGGGTAGACCCCAGGGCTGGTCTTGATGCGGTGGGAAAGAGAACGATCCTGCTCTTGCCGGGTATTGAACCTGTCCAGCCTGTCCGTGGTCACTATACTGATTCAACTGCCCCAGCTTCGGTGAGGAAGGGTGTGGATTGGATATCAGATTCTAAGAGAAGTTTCACTATTACCGCATTACAGAGAGATACGTCCCTCTGATTCAGCTGTTTTCGGGGTTATGTAGTTACGTAAATGGGCTCAACTCCAGTTTCATTTCACATCTGAGTTCCAAAGCACAGAAAAATGTCCGTTAGTAGCATGCAATGCATTTAAGGCTGTTGGGTCTCGAGGGCCGATTTGGACGCTATGGCAATGAGAAAGTGTTCATTCCTGTGCCAGGATACGAACACCGGTCCTCCAGCCCGTTACGAGTTACTATACTGAGCTATCCCGGCTCCAGATTTCAGTCCCTTGCTTTAACTGCAAACAGGGTGTTGTGTCTGGGCCTGCAGAACCGGGTCCTTCTGTACCGAGCTCCGAACAGGTGTACTGATTGCTGCTATGGCTGGCCTCTTCCTGCCGGAAAAATTATTTTGCCTTGGAGTTTGACTGATGAAAATCGCTTTAAAGCCCCAGTTTGTCACTGAAAATAAAAGTAAAAAATATTACCCCGCTCTGTCGGATGTAAGGCGTATGAAACAACCGATCGGTATCATACGGAATGAAAGTGCAAGCTCGGAGACACCAGAACATAAAGTTTATGGGATATTCCACCGGTCTTCGTACGCGCACTCCAAGCAGAGTCCATTAGTCTCGCGGTATGAGTCTCTCAACCCTAGGAGCGGTAGAAAAGGCAAGTTGTCCCTGTGCTTATCTAATTAAGCACTACTACATGAAGACGTATGGGGAGTGGATGTAGAGATCCACGTGTTCTTGAACTCGGCACTAGTTGAAGGTGATTGGTCAGCTTCACGCCCCGGGCGCTTTACCCCCAGGGGAAAGTGCCCACGGATAAGACGGCCCCAGAACCAGTCTGGACGACACGAAGAAGAGAACATTCTTGATCCTGTCCGAACTTGAACTCCTACCCCTCAGTCGTCCAGCCCGTAGCCGGTCGCTATACCGACTACACTATCCCTGCTTCCCTGGGAGTGGTAGAAAGATTTATATTCCGTTTAACCCATTGGCCAAATCCTTGCGAACACCCTAGTCTCATTATAACAGAAACATAGAGAACGTGTCTCGAGCGGTCTTCGAACCCACACACTCACAGCAATGTGAACACACAAGCATATGTGCAGAACCACGACGGTTAATACGCCCTCCGGGATTTTAAACAGTCCTGACATCTGTAGCCGATTTAACGTTGTTAAATAACCAAGAAATGGTGCCAGAGTATAAATTTCGTAGTAGAAAAGCGAGGAGTTCTTACAGACGTCAGCGCTTCAAACCGATCGCGCTGAATGGCAGTGCTGAGGTGATAACACACAGTCCTGGGACATGACCAAATGCATAGACAGGTTCACACATGGGCTGTCTGCGGAGTAAGGAGAAGCAGTGGCCGTGTTTTTAGTTGTGAAGTTCTGCGAGAAAGACAGCGCGATACAAACAGAACAATATCACCAAAGGATTAACAACGCTTATCAGAGAAACAAAGTTCATTCATTCGTTAGGTCACATTCTCCTCTGCGGTCTCTGTCAACATTGCACAGAAAGCGGGCTGTCGTAGCGGGAGGTCCTCGGTTCGAATCTCGATCAGGACATCAGCTATCCTCAGTTCCTTCAGGCAGAGGCCGCTGCCTTCCAGAGCCTTTCCAATTCATCATTCGGCTACCCTACCATTCTACGCTACGGACTCTTAGCTACCGACAGCGTCGTAAAAGAACCCACAAAAGGAAACTCACGAAGAGGTAGAGGAAGCGTTCGCTAATCCGGTTACAGTTACTCCGGATCGAAATATGAAAAGTGCCGTCTGTTCACACTTGTAGGAGTTTTATGAAAGCATGTTCGAGTTGGCCTGTGTAAGAAGAGACCTTGCGATGTGTCGATCCTCTCCTCAAGGAGTCCTGTCAACTTTACAAGCGCTACGGTTTCAGAAATTATTTGCGAACTGGAAAAGGCCACATCGCCTAATCCATAAAATGGAAGAAGGAAATTCTTGTAAGGGGTATACGTACCAAATGTAATTAAAACGACAAACAATCTTGTCTGGTGACACGACCGAGAGACGAAAGAACACAAAGAAATTTAAAGGCGTTTACCATTGTTAGGAAACATCTTAATCGCAATAAGAACTGCACTAGCGTCACGGTGCCTGGCGACTAACGACAAAACTATACGACTCTACAATACATGCATTTGTTCGAACAATATTACGTCAGTTGCTTTATTATTCATGCAATATTCTTCTGAATTTGCAGACTTTCGGTGGCCTCCCACACCGGAGTTTCTTTCTCGAGTAGTAAAAATGTACACGGCTCAGTGACTTCGTATATTCACCCACCCGGTCTGTTCCTTCATGATGACAGTGGCTATCTTGTCCGACGCTGAAGCTGACGCCCATTTACTGACCTACCTTTCGCAGGCCTAAGTGACGACAATGGATGTCTTGTCCAACGCTGAAGCTGGAGCACATTTCATACACTTAATCAAAGAATTTTAGGTTGCTGTTTTCCAGGGGCTTGTGAAAAGATGGGACAAGTGCCTCAGTGTACAGGGCAATTATGTTGAGAAATAAAAGCGTTTTTCAAATCAGTACTCTTATTTAAGTTTTATATCCATTTGTAACTTACTTATTACAGGCCGTGCCATAGCTCAAGCGGTTAGTAGCTGGCTTCCCACCGTGGCGGCCCGGTTTCAATCCCGGGTCTGGTCAAGTGTGATTTGTGGTGGACAAAGTGGCACTGGGGCAGGTTCCTCCAAGTACTTCAGTTTCCATTGCCAATCTTCATTCCACCAATTGCTCCACAATCATTTGGGGCTGGTACAATAGGCCAGAAGTGGCTGCAGTACAAGGGACTTAGTCCCACACCACTAGCAATAAAAAAACTTACTTATTGACTTACCCTCGTATTAAATGTACATAAAGTATGTGGAAATTCTGCAGTGTTTAAAACAGGCCAATTATTGTAAAACTCGGTTCAACTTTATGCATCATGGACAATGCAAAGCGTGGACTGAACTTAAACTTTTAAGGGATGGTTTCTGATAAGGCCTTGCTGCAAATACATAAGATTATGTGTCAGACTCCTGAGATGTTAAGAATACTGAACAAGTCTTCATTATTTTTATAAGCTATCCCTGTAACAGGCCGTGAAGACGCATAGGATTGTGAGACAGCAAGGCTCCCATATTTTCTAGACAATTGGCTCATAGATGGCAGTGAGGTTGGTCAGGCTTACTCACTGGACACCATTACCCCCAGAAAGATTCCTGGTACTCATTTCTGTTAGAGGGTGAGCTGACCCCAAGGCCATAGTGCTGCTGGAAGGATTAGGTCAATTGAAAAATCCAGCGACCTCATTATGAACTGATTCCGCAACCTGCCTTGTAGCATAATGTCTCAACCAACTATGCTACCACTTGCTTTAGTGCCACACTGTGATACGCATAATTAGAAATTTAGAGGCAGCTTCTAAATTCATGTTTTCAACCACTTTTAACAGATACTGCAAGCACCGATTTGAATGATCACTTTTATGAATTTCATAAATTCTAGTTATACTGAAGTTGTAATATATGCCACAAGAGGTCAGATGGGCTGTAGTGAAGGACAGAGTGACCATGAATGAAGAATATCGGGGAGGGGGAGCGAACTACTCTTAATTTCCGCATAGCACATGCTTCATTATTAGTTTTTTTAATTTTTATTATTTACTTTGGTGGAAACTGACAGAACATATTCGTATACTGCCAAGAATAATATATAATGTTCCACTAGTTCTTAAGACAGTTCTATCAAAACAAAACAAAACAAAATGGAAAAAAATACAAAAATGTTTTAATTTTTGTAACTTCACCTCATCTGTCTGCATGTTGGTGCACAGAGCTCACTGGCATGTCTATGTATAAGCAGTATTCCTGTTATAACCAATGCTAGGGTGTCTCCTTTCTTACATTAAATCAAAAAGCAGCAAGATGCCTAACATATACTAAATGTAATCCAGCAGTCTTGGAAATTCACAGACAAAATATCAGAGGCTTGAGAAGCAAAAGTCATGAATTACTACACTCTTTTGAAATAGTCAACATAAACCCTCACATATTGTGTTTAAGTGAACATCACATGGTTGAACAGGAACTGCTGCTCCTCTCAATGAATGGACTCCATACCCAGCCACTTGAGTTCAGCCAAAATCATATTTCTCCAGTTCAACATTATCCTCTGACAAACATCTCCAATCTCCTCAGGCATGCTACATACCCTGTTCATCTCATTCCCTTTCATTTGAGCATTCTAACAATAGTGGACAAACAGCAACATTTTATAAAGTTCCTCATAATGTAATTTTCCACAGTTTCTGACTTGCATTTACAAATTCACATCAGTACCCTGTTCTGAAACAGCTTCATCTCTGTGTGTCAAAGAAACACATAAAAAGGAGGTAAAATGATACTTGTGTATATTTCAGCCTTTATACTCTGGATAGATTATAGGAATGCAAACAATTCTGAACTGAATGGCAGCAAACAATCCCAAAATTTAATCTGTCCTTAATTTTGTATTGAATATAATTTTGATTTGTTATTCAGATCATCTGATTCTTTACTTAACACATGAGGGTTAACTTCATGACAATTAGTACTAGAGAGGTCAGTCGTGTCCTCCTAGTCTGGAACAATACACGTATATTTCTTTGATGCGACACACACAGAAAACCCAGAGTAGGGTCCAGAAATATAAAAACTATATTCATGCAGAAACATACAGCTCTATTCATATTTTCCAGTTTTCTTAAGATCACTATTTATAAATTAAATATTAAGGCTGGAAGGTCAAATTGTACCTTATCCTCTTTGTCTTGCAGACACCATCAAATGTCCATATTCATTAGCCCATGACTGCAAAGTACTTGAACAGATGTCACATTCCATACCATTCCTGTGATACCCCACTCAGCTCTCTCACATTTTAGTTCGGATGTACTCAGAAACAGTCATTATTAGGCTTCATGTTCATTCTCCCTTTATGATGCCCTGACAAACAAGCCACCAGTTATGCTTGATGATGCAGCATGTTAGACACAAGAGTTTCTCCTTTTTCTTTTCTTAAATAGTCATAAATCAAGTCAAAAGTTCAGTTCTTTATCCAAAATTTTCAAAATGGTGGATGAAGTATGGTAACTTGCGACCTTTGTTCACTTCTCTACTCCACGTCATCCAGACCGACTCTGGAGTCCAGCCAACCTCCTATCTGATTGGTACCTGGGTCTTTTACCTGGGGGGTTAAGTGGCTGAGGCGCGAAACTGACCACTCACCTCCAACTAGTGCCAAGGTTAAGAAAATGTGGATCTATACATCCACTCCCATATAAGCCTTCATGACATAGTGCTTAATTAGTTACTCACAGTGACAACTTTACCTTTTTCCCCATTCTGTACTCAGTATTCTGGCATGTTGGCATAACAAGCGAGAGGACAGTTATGTAAGTCCCAGTAGGGTCAAGTATTTTCTCTTCTCCAGTGTCCAAACTGGCTGTGCTGCACCCATCCTGCCATCCAATGGGTACCAGGGATTAAGCAGCTGGGGCATAAAGCTGACCACTCGCCTCTAATTAGCTCTGAGATCTATATATCCACTCCTCAATATGCCTTCAAGGCACAGTGCTCAATTGGTTAACCACAGGGACTTCACCTTCACCTTATAATTGTACTCACTACTGTCAAAGAGTAGTGACAGCTGAAGCCTACAAGACAACACAGCTGGCTTGCAGCTGTCACTTATGTGGTAAACTGCCTGCACCAACTTATTGCAGGTAACCTCCACAATACAAATGCATGCACATTGGGGTTCTCATGATTCCTGTGACCATATGGATGTCTTTGCCACGTTACAGTATCTATGTGAAACTCTCCACAGTCAGTAACACCATGATCACATCCTTCCAACAGACTGAACGCATACCAGCATGACAACTATCACTGGATTGTGTTTTGTGCCCACATCTCTGCACAGGAGAGAGAACAGCACACTAATATCATGTATTGGCACAGGTTTCCTGCCAATTTAGAGCTGTGAAGGCAGCAAAGATAATCCTGAAAACACTTTTCGTGCAGTGGCTTCTTCAACATGTTTTTAAATCTGGTAGTAATGTTTGTACTGGGGAATGCTGTGAACAGGATCAACTGCTCTGAATGTTGACTCATAACATACAGCTCTAATTCACCTTTATTAAAGTGCCATTTTAATTCTGGAACAAATGTATAAATTTATCAGAAGAGCTTCTACCATCAATCCTTAAAACGACTACTGCCTTCCATGTAATTCTGACAGAAAGACAAACTGGCATTGTACATTAAGGGGGGTTATTCATGGATTTCATTAATAATGTTCATTACATCACTACTGTTTCTTTCAAGGTATTTGAAATGCTTCATTAGTCACTCAGCCATTACTACACAGTCATAAATAAATTTACTGATGCTATAATTAAGCACAGAGACAATTTTAAGCTTTTCACCTCTACAATATGATACTGACAGTATCGTTAAACAAACCATAAAAAACAAATAAACCAAATTTAGCTTTGCCTTTGAAGTCGCTGAAGTAAGTTGGCTCTCCTAGAAAACTGCCCTTTTAATTTAGGTAAACTGGACAAACTACAAAAACTTTCTATTTCAGGACTGGATATAAGCATATACAGTTATAGACTATTCTCATGCATCAAAAAACGGAAGAAGTTCATCTTTAAAATAAACAGCACATTTGAAATCATAAGAATTATTATCTACGATGTATAACAGTATTTACCTTTAATGCAAAAAGGCACACTCAGCTATTGTATAGTACAAACTACACGGGAATGACAACAGCCATTCTTCTCCAACAGCAGTCACTGAGAGCTGCTTCCTGTTTCAGATATCTATCATTACACAACTATTATTAGTTACATAGGTCTTATCATTACTGCCTACATCATCAATGTAGCCCGATCAATGCTGAAACATGCAGCTAGTAATGATAAGAGTGGATGTTACTAATAACAGTTGTGTGAGACAGCACACATACATTGGATAGTTGATCTCAAGGCCAAGACCAGCCTAACTGTGACATCTGATTCAAGTGAGACACTGACTGACAAACCAGACTGTGAATGTAAAATCAAAATCTGCACAGAATGATATATCAATGTTGCAATTCTAAGATTCAAGTTAGCAATAACTTCTGTGTGTCTTTGCCATACAAAGTGAGGACTCTCCTTGAACATCTGAAGGCAACTGTCTTCAAGGCTAACTAGGATACTCCTAACATGTGCCCTGCATTCTCTGCTACATACATTAGACTGTTAATCTTTAAAAATATCCTTAATGTTGACACCTGTGTCCCTTCCAGCCTCTTGGAAAGATGATCCTGCTTTAGGTGCATCTGCTGCACTGTATACTGGAGCATTCATCACATCATCTGCAGCCTGATACAAATTTTCTTCAGGCACTTTACCTTCTTCTCTTAATTTATTGTATGCAGAGATAAATTTCTGTGTTTGGGTCTGTATCTGTTGATCAGATAAGTTAACAGCTGGTAAAGACCTATGCTCTTTCTGGAACTTCCTAAAATTAATTAAACATAAAGTTAATTTTGCATATAATTCACATTTCAGCATACAGGATGTCAAACTGTATACACACAAATGTTTTACATCACACAGTGCATCTTCTGTTAAATTATACAGGTCTGTTACTTCCAAACTACTGACTGAGTGTGATTAACATGGGAATAAGATTGTATAATAACTTGCCCTCTCAAATAAGAAGTATTCAAGAGTTCAAGGTTTTTAAGCATCAATTAAAGGATTACTTGTTGTGCAAAGCTTTTTATTCCCTTCAAGAATATTTTTACAAGAATTAGCTTAATAATAGAACAAAGATACTTAGGTAATTTATTTTAGCTATTGCATGTAATTTATAATTTAGCTTTTGTTGCCTTATTATACTCATCCACTGTTTTATCATATTTAAAGGACTTATTTTTCTATGGTTTTTTATATTATTAGTCATTTGATGTGACGTTTAATCTCATATATTTTTTTAAAAACTGACTTGTCCAATTGTACATAATGTAACAGTTATGGATGTTAAATAAATCAATCAATCAAACTGACAGCCTACCTTCAGCTGAATGCCACCAGTTAATTCTCGATGAGTCTAGAACTGCTTCACAACAGCCATAAAAGCAACTTATCCGAACTATAAGAGGTGCTGAAAATGATGCCCCCCCCCTTGAAGCACACACATTCTATACTACTCATTTGAAGAGGTTCTTTGGGAGCAATTTCTAAAGATTTTTCTCTGGATGCTCAACTTCTCTTTCATATTAGGGTTAATTTTGTACCATTTATATTTGAAACTACAAGGTTAAAAGTAAAGTTTTCCTTGTGCTTAACTAATCAAGCACTATGCCATGAAGGTGTATGGGGTACTGGATCTAATTAAAAAAATTAAAGCTATCCCAGTAAGACATCGTGAAGGCCCATAGGGTTGTGAGACATCAAGGTTCCCACATTTTCTCTAGATAACTGGCTCACAGATGGAGGTAAGGTTATCAGCCTTATGCACCGGCCGCCCTCTACTCCCCAGGAAGATTCCTGGTATTCATTTCTGTTAGAGGCTGAGTCAGCCCCAGGGCCATAGGGCAGCTGGAAGTATCAGGTAAACTGAAAACTCATTGGGACTCGAACCTGCAACCTTCCAGCTTGTAGCATAGTGCCTCAACCACGTGCCCATAAATAAAAATTCTGTGGCCGACGTGCTCACCACAAACCAAAAGTTCTTATTCTGCTATCAAACAGTCTTTCGAGCAGACCGTACATCATATCAAGACGCTGCAGAATCATTTGACTGGCCCACCCAGCCTCTTATCAAAAGGGTACCGGGGGCGATTTCCCTGGGGATAAAGCAGCAAAGGAATTATGGTGACCACTCTCCTCCATCTAGTTCCAAGGTCAAGAATGGTGGAACTGGCACAAGAGATCACTGTGGTTGCGGTGCAAGGGCCAAGAAAGCCCACCCCTTATACATTCATTACCTCAAACTCTGCCCCATATGTCTTCCTGCCACAGTGCTTAATTAGTTTACCTTTACCTCACCATCCTTTGCCTTTTGTAAGCTGTGCAAAGAAATTCCAGCAAATAGTTCCCACAAGAATATCAGCCGACTAAGTTGTTTAGAATTCATCATTACCACACACTTATTTTTAAGACACATACAGGAATTCTGTGAAGTTTATGGATGCCTACAGTCCTTGGAATAGTGGCTCTAAGAAATTTACAGTAAACGTTTCTCAGACACTTTCTAGCAGGACCACACTTTACAAGTGATTCATATACCACTAAAAAGAAATGCATGCTCTTCATTCAGCATGTTAAGGCACTGTAATGTGTTTGGAGTAGATACTTCCATGGTAACGCAATTACGGTGGGCCGTTGCGTAGGAATTGCAGAATCAACAAACCGTGTTTCCCCAGAGATGGAAGGTCCATTGCGTAGCAACGACCATGGATATATAAGGGGGTTAATGCATTAGATGAGTCGGCCTTTAGATAGCCACCGTTGAAGAGAGGTGAAGTCTAGCATCTGCCGAGTGAAGTCGAGAAGTGACTACAGCAGGTTTAATTGTGACATTATAATGTAAAAGCAAAGGAGAATAAATATTTGCTACGTGAAGTTATTTGTTGCATAACAGCCAACACGCGACCGTATTATACATATCCACAATAATAAGCAGTAATGTACACATTAAGGGCAAAACAAGAAATGAATGGTCTATCCATGTGAGCATGGATCATTCCATGGTATTTACTGATAGCATTCTGAGTCATTCTAGGCTCAAAGGCACATTGCCACTGGCCAACAGTAATGAAGTGACGGGAACAGGAAGACACACTGTGCCTATTATCTTCATTATCTGTATCTGGTGAAAACAATATTCGAGCATATGAACTGCCACCTCCTCAGTAAATAGTTTTCTGTGGTTGGAACCAACTACAGAAACATAAATAAACTTTATTGTACAAGAATTTTATATTTAAAGAATGTCATGACCCTACTGACACTGCTGAAAATAAATACTAGCAATGATTAATCTGACATGATAATGGACACTATCTTTCATATAATTTTGATTATAGAAACACAATTTAGAACTTGGCTCTGTTTCTATCATCAGGCAAGTAAGTGTAAGAAATGTACTCAGTTGGGCTCAACAGATGGAGCAAGAACACACATACTCACATACTGTGCCTGCATGGAGCCCTCCTCAAGTTGCGATTCTATGTATCATCTGGTTGCATGTGTCCACATGAAGCAGTTCAATGGCGGAGACATAGTTCAACATAATGGGACACACAGGTGTCTTAACATGCTGAAGAAAGGCCCGATTATATGAAACACTGTCTCAAGGAGGATGTCACAGGCAACATGTGCGGGNGCGGGGGGGGGGGACTTCCTTGATCACATTACCGTATTTCGATCTCTCCTTGCTTGCTCTGGGTACTGTATACACCCTTCATGACACCAGCTGAAGTGTGCATACAGAAAACTCTCTAATGTATCAGATATTTTCATTTTTTTTTTTAGTTTCTTGGGGTGGGTGAGACTGAGGTCTCCACCTGGTACATCAGCCACTAATTTGGCCTACTGCACCAGCCCTGGATGGTAGATGATGAGTGTGGGGCAGTCTGTAGAATGGGAATTGACAGGGGAAACCAATGTACTTGATGAAAACCTACCCCAGTCCCACACCCTGTCCATCACAAATTCCACATGACCTGCCCTGGGATAAAACCTAGGCCGCCACAATGGAACACTGGCGACTAATTGCCTGAGCTACGGCATGACCTAATGTGTAAGCTACCTGAAGACTGCTGTAGCTGAAATTTCATTATAGGCCTCTACATTCAATACATCAGAGGATCTGAAACCATGCTGTTATTGCCAATGTTATGGTGTACATTACAATCATGCACATATACAAAACTTGATCATATACAGAAGTGCTGAAGAACATTTTGAGATATATATTACACTCACACAGACAACTTGAAACTATACATCTACACTTGTTGCTATATAAATAAAATTATAATGTGTAATTCAAATCAAATTTATCATGCACCCAACTTACGCCCTGATAGTATCTTCAGGATAAAATATGTTTCTTAATGGAACATCTGGTGCTGGTCGGTCATATTTTGGTTCATACTTTGGAGGAAATGCTGTATACACATCATACCAAATGGGTTTATCTTCTTCCTTCAAAGCACCAGATCTGAGTAGACCTCTGACCCTGTGAATGAGTAATACTTCTTTATTTGTATGAATCATAACAAAGCTTACCTGTCTTTCAGTTTGAATGGATTTCCTCCTTGCTGCGCCTAACTTAGCAAAGCGCAGTGATCGCCACAGGAAGTTCCTGTGACACTGACACTTTCATTCAGCTGCTGCCATCTGTATGGTGATGACAAAAACAACTACAACTGAACAGTTATGCAATTTCATGATCTGTTTTAAGTGCACAATTCTGAAAAGTTAAACAGTTCCGTCTAGTTTGACCGGTGAAGATTTTTCATATTTCAATTATTTATGCCCTTACACATTTCGGTCTTCAGAGACCATCATCAGAGGGACACCTTTACATCAATACAGTTAGAAGATACAATTACAATGTATGTTCTGAAAGTTAAAATGTTTACATATAATATTAATAATATACGATTGTGTATAAAATCTAAAATCTTTACAACTACAGTGGCTGTTCCAATACATTAACACTTTGCGGACCGGTGATTTAAATATTTAAATCATCCTGGGGACTGGCATTTTTATACCTACTACCCTAACTTGTGCACTGTTCACTTTAAAAATTAATATAAAATAAATGATACAAATTCCGTTCCAAGTGCAAACAATATATATTATATGTCTTTGATCTTGTTCTTTCTACACTACATGTTTCGGCCTCTATCGGTCATCATCAGGTGTATACTCTTAACGTTGCTGCCAGCACTTAGACATAGGGCGTGCAACCCTAAGAATTTTAAATTTTAAATTTTAAATTTAGAGAAAATTTTAAAAGGTTTTGAAAAACATCATAACTAAAGATTTTTAAAGTGCTACTACAAGAATATCAAAATTTGACGTGTGCAACATAATCTACATACCAGACATATATCAACGATGTAGATGTTGATAATACGAAGAATATGACATTGTGTTTTTAAATGTTAAATTTTAGACTGGGGTCAGTGTGGCAGCAACGTTAAGAGTATACACCTGATGATGGCCGATAGAGGCCGAAACATGTAGTGTACAAAGAACAAGATCAAAGACATATAATATATATTGTTTGCACTTGGGACGGAATTTGTGTCATTTATCGTGTAGAGTGCAACAGGATGCTTAAATATAATATTGTAATATAAAATCTCTGAATTAATTTTATGAACTATAATTTTTGGAGAACACTTACCAATGCTCCTAGAAGTGCTTGAAAGTGTGATATTCCTGGAAACATTCCCCTTTGTGAAGTGGCATTACACAGAACTTGCACATGTAGACAGTCATAGTCCTTTTTTTGTGAACTGCGCAAACACGGCATTGCCTAGAAGGATACTTCCCCTTGGAATGTTCACTGTTCACAATTCTCACGAGGGTATGTTTCCACATATCACCCAAGAGTCACCCAGGAGTGTCCACATGAGGCCTGCGTGGGGGTGGGAGTTCATCATCTAGGTCGCACTAAGTGTGTCTGACTCTGGTTCTGCCGCCACCATCTGGTCTGTAGCCCAAGCCTTTGCCACATTCATCAGAAATGCTTTGTATATCAATTTAGAATCAGGGTTTAGATTTTTGTAAACCAAAAATGAATTGAAAATGGCACAATTTATAAGCCACAAGACAACTTTCACGTTTATTATCTGTGGCCACAATTCTTTGTTGACCCCTGTCACTTCCACTGTCTGAGTCACTAATCACTATTCCTCCACAAGGCACGGCGGATAGCTCCATAAACAAGTCCGAGAGATCACTTGCTTTCAACCGCTTTTGTCCTTGAAACATACTCCCCTCTACTAATTTCTGCCTGGTACATAAACAGCTAGAAGGGGCAAAGTTTATTTTCTTTTGGAGTAGGGACCCTAGCCAGCCAGGTCAAGTTACTGAATACCTGGCATACATTCCGAAGATTTATTACGCAGTATTCATTGCAGTTGCGAGGCGCCAGAGCAAGGTATAGTGTGTTCCAACATAACATGTCCTAAAGTCATAATAATATGCCACTGGTCCACAACGTTTAAAAGCGAAAAACCTTTTAAAGGGTGCGCGGTCTGCAAAGTGTTAAAATATTTATAGCTGATTTGTTAAGACTCTATTGGAATTCAGGTTTGTGTCGTCCCTCTTATTATTTCTTTTGACGTGGGCTGAATGTGTGCCGCCTTGTCGTTCTCGCGAAGAGGGTTCTTTGATGTTGTCCTGTATGTGTTTGTGGCATGCTGTGTTGTTTCTAGCTTCTAACTGTATTGATGTAAAGGTGTCCCTCTGAAGATGGTCTCTGAAGACTGAAATGTGTAAGGGCATAAATAATTTAAATAAGAAAAATCTTCACCAGTCACACTGAATGGAACTGTTTAACTTTTCACGATATTATTAGTGTGATGGACCAGAATGAAACAGATTAAATGCACAATTCTCATTAGTACAGATTCCAACCATCAGCTTGTCAGATACAAGCTCAAAACTTTATGCCTGAAGTCACAGATCTAATTTCATGGTGTAAGAGAACTTCCTATTGAACAAAAACTGTTCCTACCTAAAAAATACAGAAAGCTGCCTTGTTGCTATTACAGACAGCAGGGATTTAAGCAGTACTAAGATGGAGGACATCTCTAGAAGCATAACTCGGGTATCTAGTTTCAGTTTTCATTTGTTAGTTGGTAATCTGTGCATAATTAAGAACCACCATGCCATGTAGACGCATTCTTGACCTTGGCAATGAATGGAGATGAGGGGAACCTGAGCACCCAGGCCCCCCCCCCCCACACACCCTGTTGCTGTACTGAGCGAGCTCTCCCTGCTCTCCGTGCAGCAATAAGTATACCACGAAAACTAGACTACATAAAAATACAACATTAACAACTGATCCAGTCATTACGGAAGAACATATAAACATTATATCATTAATCCTCAAGAAAGTTGAGTATGGCAATAACAGCAAACTGAGGTGGCATAACAATTAACTGAAGATTTGAGGTGGCTAAGTGAAGTCTACTGCAGCTCAAGACACAAAGCCAATAAGAGATCACAAATTTTAAATTAATTCTTAAATTAATTTTTAATCAATTCTAAAATTAATTTTAGCTTAATAAGAAAATTAAGTTTAATATTTAGTCTCATATAAGTCAATAGCCACTAAACAGTATGAAAATAAACGTGAGTGTAGCCACTTCATGGCCTGTGTAGGAATACAGGAATCTCATGTTACAATTCAGTAATTAATAATGTGCAACTGGAAACAGCTGAAGATGACCCTTTAAGGGTCAAAACATGTCAGGTAACCCAAATTAATAAACACTGTTGCACTGACGGCTGACCCATTATTATTAGTATCCCTGCTCTCATCTGTTAATTGGTCTGAAAGTTACTAGGAAGGGCTAGACACTTGGCTGTAGCGTTATCACAAGCCTACCGTTCTTTATAAGATGAATGGAAAGCTTAAATCGACATTGAAGCATAACAGTTTCCACATGCATTCTCTGCACTTCTGAAGTCTGAATGCACGGATCTCCCATACAGCATCTATGCACTTATGTGTAACTGAGGTTACTACCATTACTGAATGTTAAAAGTGATACCAACATTTCTCCTGTTTCACATGCCATATTAAGAATTCCTTACATCCACAAACCCAACACTAGATCCTGTATACCTACAGTTATGAAGAAAAAAACAGAAATATCATAGTCATATATTTTTCACAGATCTTCCATATTACAAACCGCTAATCAAAAGTATCTTCTAGCCTCACATAGTTTCAATAATTATGACAATTTTTCTGCGACAGAGGCCAGAACCTAGCCACTGCATTCGTCATTACAAATGTGAAATACAAAGGGCCAAAACAGTGCTGAGATATAAACAAGAGCGTTTACAAACACCAACCACTGTAAAGGATGCTTATAAATAGGCTGGATTATACTTGACAAAGACTAAGTAATGAGTATATTATTTCATGAATAGCATGTACTCTCTTCCCTACATAATGCGCAAGCAAATATTAATGAACTGCATTAACCTTGAATATATGGTGCCAACTTTCTCCAATCTACTGCTTGCCATAACTGTCCAGTCCTTGTCTTTAGCCTGATATGTGCTGAGTCAGGAACAGAGCATAATTTCCTGCAAGAACAAATTGGTATTATAAAATAATTATGTTCCTTCTGCTTTGCCCACTCTGATCTCCTCTAACAGCTATCTGTGCTTCCAATGAGCAGAGTGTAAATTTCTACTTACAAGAGGCACTAATTCTCTGACATCTCATAGTGCAATCCAAACACCGACTTGTTACATGGAACATTCGGCATCATCTGTGTGATGCAACACTAAAAACTGGCGTATGAAGCCAGTACAAGTACATATATAGCATTTCTCCTGCATAGCATAAACCTACAGTACCCCTATGCAAGACAGTATTCATCAAACACATCAGCTCATACAAAGAGCAATCCCTGAAAGGCACCAAAAAGTGTGATAGGTTGCATTTTCACAGTGCAGGGACAGCCAACTGTGGCATGCTAACAAGTCTGACCATACTGCAACTTGCTCCACAGAAGCACAAGTCCCCCGACAGCAGGTGTCTTGACATGACTGAATTCCAGGAACGTTTTGGCCCTCCCTCCCTCATACCTCACGCATCTATAGGTATTTATTGTTATATAAGTGATTTATATTGAACTTGTGGTTACTGTTCCTCTTGCCATTTATCATTGCTTATATCATGCGCATGCTGAACTGCCTGTGTCTGTAATACTTGCACTGCATAAGGGTTGGAGGGAAAAAACTGTTTGCGTTACAGCAGACGAAATTATTGCCACTTCATGTTGTCAAATTTACATCACATCTAACAGCTAATTATGGTTCTCACACACTTACTGGCCACAGTGCAGTCTGTCCTAGGAAGTCCTGTAAGTAGCACAGCAGGAATCTAGGCAAGGGATGGGAGGTAAAGTGGAAAACCAGGTGGGAATGAAACCAAATGGGACACATCAGCTTCTGACATTATGTAGATTTGTGGGATAACATAGATACCGTACAGAACAAATACAGTCTTTCACTGATGCTGCTAGTAGGAGTTGGGGGGTGTGGAAGAAAACACAGAGAAGACTAAGCATATTAATGTCTCACCAGAATGCATGACAGTATCATAACATAAAGATTGCTAACAGAGCCTTTGAAAATGATGCGAACTCCAAAATCCATATACTTTGCAGCTCTTTCCCCCTTACACTGCCCAAAGTTTACAATTGCGGGAAGGTCATACATGTTATTTGTCAGTGTCAATGCCAATGTATAAAACTATATGCAAAACATTAAAATACTGAAATATTAAATTATTACAATGTTTCATTTGCTGTGATGTTATTAAACAATGTTTACTTCTGGATCACTGCAGAGATGTCTTGTCCTCAATGCCAACAGTGTATAAAATTAAATGTTAAAATATTAGTTTTATTGTTGTAGTTCATGTTATTTAAATAGTTGTTGTCACAGAAGAAGTGGTCTTCTCTTGCGTGATCTGAAACACTGATCTTGTGTTAGTTTCTAGTGTTGTGTTCCATGTAATATGCGGGGGCTGCTGTGCGTGGTTTTTTTTGTTTGCTTTGTTTTTGTTTCCCTTGTACATTGATCTTTTTGTGGGTGGTGTTACCTGTACTGATATGACAAATAACATGTATAATTTTCCAAAAATTGTAAACACTGGCCAATGCAAACTAAAACAGCAGAAAAGAGTAAGGAAGAAGCGTCAAAATTTTACATGACTCTGGTCATGAAGTGTCAAAACACGCTTGCTGTAATTTACACACAAACTGTTGCAGTGGAACCAATAATAAACCACAAACATGATTTTATCCATTTTCACAGTATAGGGATTACAGTCTCCCGGAATTAAACGCCATGCAATCTGCTTGAAGTCTGCGTTCGATGCACAAAACTTGTTGCTTCAATGCCACCAAGGTTTTACGGATGCTTACCGTTCTTCGATTATACAGACTAGATCTATCGACTGGGCCCAACTGAGGTTATACCTGAAGACAGAGACAGAATCGTCTCCGAAACGTTTTGAAAAATAAACAGACATTGTTTTTTTATAAATAGGATAATGTCCAAAAACATAGTATTTCTACTTACAGTCCTCGTTTTAGTAAAAAGAGACATATTTCATTTAATAGACAGCCATAGTCATACAGCCATCATTATCTTACCTCAGCTAACCCTTTATCATAGCGAGGCATATGTTAATACATACAATTTCAAAATGGATCGCTATAATTACGTATTTCTTCAACATGACAATGTTTATCCTTACTTTTGTCAAGAACACTCAGTCGTCTTCATTCCGGGTATGGCAACTAGCACTGCCGAAACTTCCCAATATTAGACAAGACCAGAATGTGTGGACCAATGAAGTATTGCGCAAATGGTACAGTATTATTTTAATCGTATATTCCTTTCTATGCTATTTCTCAATTGAAGACAGGTAATGAAGGGGTTCCTTAAAGGTAAATCATTGCCCAAGCCTTCACAAATATGGATCGTGATATTGGCTGCATTATACCAGCATTAGCTTTCATAGTTTTCACCATTCCCGCTGGGCGGAAGCACTGGTCTGTGATATATTATAATTACAATTATTATTATTATTCTGTAATTGGGTGTTGATGTGGTCCGTCTCGTGACCTCGTGACAGTAGATTTTATACTGATGCAGACAATAAAATACTACAAGACTCTCAATACAAGGCACAGTTTTGATTTATATTGCCCTCAGACAAATTTAACAGTTCATCAGAAGGGTCCTTATTGCTATGGAATTAAAACTTTTTAATTGTCTCCCATTAAAAATAAAGGAAGTAGTACATGATAGTAAGGTATTTAGAGTGGCCTTAAATGCCTTTTTACATTCAATATTGCATCACAACACACAGACAAGCAACATCAACTACCGACAGACAACACACGCCAACAACATCCCGAAGCAAAAAGATTGGGCCAAGCGGGAAAGAATTCTAGGGATTTTAAGAATTCTTACTTCAAATAACGAAACATAATTTTACAGAATTAACGACGAATCAAATAAGGAAGCTACTGTGGTGTGTGAAAAACTTTTAGTGAATCGACATTCTGGGTAATTTTAACTATTTGTAATTATTTTAATTAACTGGAAAGTGGCTATCTTGGACAAAGTGAAGTTTTGTGTGTTGGTGATTTCTTTTTCTACTATAAATGCCTCTGATGATGGCTCCGTGGTGAGCCGAAACATGTAAGGCAGGTGTTGACGAGGTGGAAAACTTAAAAAAGTGTCACATTTGACGGAAGGAACTTGATTGTTAATTATTTTGAATTTGACCAATAAGATCTTAACTTGCTTGCCCTTAAGGAAAATTGCAACCAAAGCTCTTGGGATTCCCACTGACCTGATACTGTACGTCGGCATTCGTGTGGGGAAGTCCCTTAGCTTATAGCGTGCATTCCTGGGCAAGAGAGGTCCTAAATGGGTTACCTAAGGGTAGTCCTAAGCTCCGTTCGGCTTCAAACTCCCCAAATTAAATTTTTGGGTTATTTAACAAGTCCCATTTTGTTGTAAAATACACACATACAATTTCATTAGTCGCCTCGATGTAATTTTTACCCAATTTTAGTTTTGTTTAATTTTGAACGCAACCTTGGTTATTGGTATTTCAATAGTTTAACACTTACATTCAGCTGCTGGTTTTTCCTAACCTGATAACTATTTAAGTTTCTTAGTTAAAACACCCTGTGGCTTTGATTTAGCTATGGCCTTCACATCAGCTGTGGCGGCTACCGCCCACATGTTTAGCCTTGAGCGTATCGTAAACTTCTAGCAAGCGTATTTTGTTACGCGGCTCTCGGCTGCATCGGCGCTTATCAGTAAAACTCTCTCTCTTTGTCATTCTCTGTACTCCGCTTTGCAAGGTCAATCCTTTCTTCTAAGCTTTTCTTTCCTGTAGCACGAACAATTTTGGATGTTAAACAATACAAAACTCAACCGGCTTCGAAATCGCGGTTGTTTACAACGGTTGGAATTAAAGTATGGTTATTTGCAGGGTTGTCTACACTCGCTATTACTTATTGTTGAGCCACCAGGATTGGATTCCTTTTACACACCATCGTTATTTATTCTGTAGAGCCCATTTACTTTGACGTTTCCTCGTAGTAAGCTGCTTACTTTTCTTTAATCCGACGTTCCTTCAGCTCTCGGCTGGTATTTATTTACCGACGTTACTTCAGCTCCTTTTGGCTGGTACTTTGTTCATCGACGTTACTTCAGCTTTCTTTATTCACCGACGTTACTTCAGCTTCTTTTGGCTGGTACCTTATTCATCGACGTTGGGCTTGATTAGATCCATCCTGTGGGCTTGACGTCCACACGACTTCTGTTTACCTCTGCTTGCCCCTGCATTATTCTTTCCCTTGATTCGAACTATATTTTAACTTTCATCATTTCAATAATTACTTTAATTTTAATATTATACTTATTTTTAATAACACGATTCCTTTAAATGTTTTATCCAAATTTGTTCCTGACTACTTACAATTTGCTTCGTTTTATTACTTTTGATTGATCCTTGCCGCAATACCTACTATACAATGTTTCCTTATGTGTCTTAAATTGGTACTTTACCTTTTCATTTCTCAAACCTTTAGGTCATTTACAGCTAGTATTTTAGTTTACCTTTCAACTTTCCACAGGGGTTGTTAATTGTTTCAGCACTCTTTCGGAATTTAAGTGTGGCATTTACACTTATTCTTTCATTCACTTCTGCCCTTAAGTTGTCAAACCCTTCATTATATATATATATTTTAACATTCAAATTTACTCCCCTTTTAACACCTTACATTAGTTACAATACTTTGGGGCTTACCCCAATTTTTGGGTATACAATATTTTTACCTTTTTATACAAATTTGTTTTGAGCCTTTAACTAGGTTGATTACATCATTATACTGATCATAGGCAGATTAGTTGGCTAGGTACTTGCTTGGTTAACCAGTTTAATGAAACGTACCATAGTTTGCATTATTCTTAGTTGAATTATTATGGCAACTAGTTACTTCATTTATCACCTTTAGTTCTATGGCCACTTTAGCCTTGTAACCGTTTGTACTTCGGGAAATATCATGTAATGGGTTACAAAAACAATTGTGTCACTATACACATGCTTTGAAAAATGTATCATTGTCTAAATGCATACTAATTAGTTGTTTAGGTTAGTATATCTACAGGTTGGCATTACAATCTGCCTTGTGAAATTTACAGCAGTTTAGCTGTAATAAATGTGTTTATTAAAACTAGTAGTCTTTTTTCTTCTTTCTTCCATTTCACTACCACTGACACTGTTCACTTTTACATTTCTTAAATTCTTTTTCTTCAATATGCACTCTTAAACTCGTTTTTCTTCTAATCACTGCCTAGTTATTCAAATCACTTTTAACGAGAACTACATTTCCGGCTCTAATTTCACATAGGGTTTCATATGGCTAATATGGAACAGCCCCTTCCCCTTTCCTGATACACTGCCTAGTTCATACAGGTGTTCGTTTTTTATCTTTGTGATAAGGAATGGGCCCTCATATGACCTCTGAAATTTGCCTATAATCCCTGTACTGGCTTGTGATACAGGTTGGGCTTTCACTAATACCTGATCTCCTACTTGGGGTAGCCATGAGAAATTTCCCTTTTTTTTCTTACTCCTTCTTTTTTCTGCTTTGGCTTTCATTCGTGCATAGGCCCTTAAAATTTTCGTAGAAAGTTCTTCCGTTGGGGGTTGGTCTGGTAGTTTTTGGTAAATTTCTTGAAAAATGCCCTTTTCCACTCTTCCCCCTAGTAGCTCCATTGGTGAATAGCCGGTCACTTGACTAATAGGTTGGTTCAACCAATTTTGGATGTGAGGTACTAATTCCGGCCACTGCTTGTGAGTTTGGTAGCAATAAATCTTGAAAAATTTTCCCAATTCCTTCATAACTCTTTCCACAGGATTGCTTTCCGGATGTCTTATGGGCGAATATCTCACGATGATCCCCAAATTCTTCAAGGTGTTTATCCAAATGGGACTAGTAAACTGGGATCCGTGGTCAGACAATATTATTTTGGGCTGTATTACCTTTACTAAATAATGTTCGGTTATCTTCTTTAAACATCCTTTAGTGGTCGCTGCCCTTAATGGGTAAAGCGTTACAAACTTAGTAAATACTTCCAAACATACTAGTAGGTATTTCACATTTCCTCTTCCAGTGGGTAAAGGTCCAAACAGATCCACAGAGGTTAACTCTC